ATATGTTTCTTGTTTTTTTTCCTCCCCTCTTCTTTTTTTTTGCATTTAATTAAGTTTCACGTTTTGCTTAATTAAATAATATCGATTTTCACGGATATTTCCAATGTTAATAGTCATTATCTTATTCTCTGTCTCTCTTTTTTATTTTTATTCTTTAGCGATTACTGTGAAACATTATGAAAGTAACAGATTCTGTATGTGTTCCCTTGTGTGTGTGTGCTTATTAATATCCAGAATATTTAATATTACTTTTGTACTCATTTCTATCGATGAGCTCATTGTAAATTGACACACCATACACATACACACACACACACACACACACACACACGAACATATATATATACATCTAAATAACGGATACATATCCGTACAATATATGAAATAGGAATCAGTTGGAATATGAAGTGTTTATTTAATGACGTTTTATTTTACTCGTGACGAGATACACGATTGAAATGTACAATTTTATATTTTAATTTTTTCTTCTTATGGTAAAAATTACAAACAAACAAACAAAAAATAATGAAATTTAATCTCTTTATCTGTAATGTTTATTTCATTCAAGATTTATGGTTTTTTCTTTTTTTTATTGAATAGCAAAACAAAACCAGTTAGTATTGGATTGATTATTTGTTTTATATTACACATACATATATATATATATATATATATATATATTATGTAATATGTAAATATTTGAAGCACAAGTATTTCTGTGATCGTTATGATTAATATTGTAATATATATTGATTTATAAATATATATGTATATGTTATGCTAAATAATGGGTGAATATCGTATAATATGTGAAATATGAATCGATTGGAGGATGAAGTGTTTATTTTATGACGTTTCATTTTAATTACGATGATCACAATTGAAATATTGGTTTTTTTCTTGTTTATTCATTTATAACTTTTCGTATGGCAAAAATTACGCAAAAAATATATCCATTTGTATCTGTAATATTTATTTAATTCGAGAAATACATGATTTTTCGAAATTACATAACAAAAATTTCTGTAGATTTTATTATTTGTTTCGTGACTTTTGATTTGATAAAAAACACATTATACATATATATATATATTTTTTTAAATTGAACCGAAGCGTTTATGGGATCATTACGATATTATCATCATCTCTATAGTTCTGTTTCACTAGATCGTTTTATCATATCTCTTATTTATATGTATATATTATATATACTAGGATGCTTCGGCCACGCGTTGCTATGGTTTTGTTATAAAATGTTGATTTCATATAATTCTAAACTATTTAGTAAGTTGTAATAATACACAAAATAATACCACAATTAGAATGGAATACATAAAATAATAATACTAGAAAAAATATAAAAAGTAAGATTAGTTACGTCACATGTAAATCTGAAAGACCGTATATATGAATACAGTCAAATAATTGAATTGTGATATAGAGCCATCTATTGAAAACTTACAGTATCTTAAAACCTAGATAACCTCTAAATAATAAGTCTTTAAATTAATAATAAAATATAAAAATAATCGCGATGAAAACAATCCTGTATACTAAATTGAAAAAAGTCACACAAAATAATAAAATTTTCATGAAGATTCAGTAGTTTAAGTTCAGTAGTTTCGAAGTTTATGGGAAACCAACAATGTGGCACTGAATTTTTATATATAAAGATATATATCCAATTTTAGAATAGACGATAATTGAAAATTGACTAAAAATTAGATCTTCAAATGAAATTATTTACAATTGTTCGTCAACATTTTAAATGGAATTGTATTATGAAAGAACAATGTTAAAATAATAATCTCTTTTTTCATTTTGTTAATTTAATAATCAAACCGAATGAATTATTTTCCTTATAAAAAGCATTATATGCATGAACAGAAATATAATAAATGTATAAAATAATTCATAAATATTATCTTACCAAATTTAACATTCGTTTAATATCACGCGAATATCATTTCCTATTAATATTAATCTATTACGCGAAAAACTTTTTAAAATATAATAATAATAATAATAATAATAATAATAATAATAATAATAATAATAATAAAATCACCATTCGAATGAAATAACCTAGTTGAACATTTATTATGAATAATATTGAAATTTGTTTCTTTAGAATAATACCAACCGGTAAAAAAACAAACGTAATTTCTTAACAAAACCAAAACCTCCCTAGTAGCACAAAATATTGAAAAATATTGAATGCATGTGTATTTAATATTAAAAAGAGATTTAATGTCTTTATTTAAAAGACATTAACAATTTATTTAAAAGACGAACATTTAAAAAATAAATAACAAAAGGAAAAAAAAGAAAGTGTATAGGTAAAAATAAAAATTCATACTATACGTAATACAGTACATAAAATATCATTCGAAAATTAATATTAATATTCAACGTAACAAAATATTCATGATACTCATAATCTTTGCTTTAAATCATTTCAAAACGTTTATTCTTGACAAATTTTATAAACGTTACAAAAAAAAAAAACACACACCCACAATTATGTTTTACATACAAAGCAACATTTATTTTCATATTTCATGAATGATAATTATACCTCCAACCGACGAGAAAATATTCTTGTTGCATTGAAGATAAGTATTGAACAACATATGAATAAAACGAGGGCATGGGTGGGGGAGGGGGGATCGGGGAAAGATATGAAAATAGAGAGAAAGAATAACGGAAAGGGCCGATGAAGTAGTCGAATGAATGGGATAGAAGTAGGAAACGAGTATGAGAGAGAAGATGAGAGAAAAAGGGTGGAATAGGAGGATTGTGAGTGTGGGGGTGGATAGGGGAAAACGTATTTAGTAGAATGCCGGGTGCTAATGCAGATACACAAGGTAGAAAATATTGAAACGGTCGTCCGCGAGAAATCCCATTTAAAGGCCGTACCATGCGGTTGGGGTAAAGCACGCGAATATCTAGTATAACGTAACATATATGAGAAGAGAGTGAGGGTGAGGGTAGAGGTAAGGGTAAGGAGAGAGGGAAGAGAGGGCAGGTAGAGAGGGCAGGTAGATAGAAAGGGAGATATATGTATATCTACGTATTATACGTATTACACGTATATATACGATGTATATATGGTTGTTGTTGTACTCCATTATATGAGGAAAATACAGAGAGAAACGGAAGGAACAATAGTAGTCATGGAAATGTGGCGTATTATCGGTTGAGGATTATGCATAAATGAGAATTGAGAGAACGATCTTTTAGGGATATGTTGAAAAAATTTCAGAAATTTCGATTGCGAAAGAAGCATAATGTTATTTGTTTTATGTATGTATATGTATATGTAATGCTTGTACGTATAATTGTATTATATATGTATAATATTATAATGAATTAGATTGATTATAGGTAGAAATTTGTAATAGTATTTATTGGTAAGATAGAAATTATCGATAACGGTTGTTGAATGTGTTTATTTTTTCTTCTTTCTTTTTTATTATGAGTGTTTCTTGGGTTTTTTTTTTAAATCGTTAATCAATTAGATTATAAAATATGCGATCTTGTATGAATGGTAGAAAATGAAGAAATATGGGAAAGAATATATTTGTTTTTTGATAGGATATGTAGATAGATAATAATATAGATATTATTATTAATAATAATAATATAATATTATGGATTTTGATTACGTGTAGAAATTTATAGCGTTATAATTTATAAATGTATTATGTGGAATATTTTGAATATATTTTATCTGAACTTGATTGTGTATATTTTAAGCCGTGCAAAAAAGAGAGAGTGAGAAGATGAATGTTTTCATTAGCACGTGTTTCCGAATTGTTTTCATTACTATATCTCATGATACGGAACGGTGTTTATGTTTTCATTTTACGAAGTACGGTCAGACGAACAAAGTGTCGAGCCTAAAAACAAGGAGAGTGGGAGTTATTATTAATTAGAATGTTCGCTGAGAAGTGAAACAATCTTTCAACGACAACGTATAGGATACTAGAGTAAAGATAAAACTTTTATATAATTATTTTTTTGAGAAAAAAAGGGTGAAAGAGAGTAAGTAAAGGGATGAAGGTAGGAGCTACCCTTTACCTAATATTAAAATTCAACAAACAAGCGATTTTCGTATGTATATATCTTTATATATAAAAATTCAGTGGCGCGTTGTTGGTTTTCAATAAACTTCGAAACTACTGAACTGATTTTAATGAAATTTTTTTTATTGTGTGTGATTTTTTTCAGCTTAGTACATAGAATAGTTTTTATTGCGATCATTCACGTCATATGTTTTTTTTTCAGATTTACATATGACATAATTAACTTTGCTTTTTATATTTTTTCGTGTATTATTATTTTATATATTCCATTCTAATCGTGGTATTATTTTGTGTGTTGTTATTGATATATTATACTTTCTATATATTAAAAATTTTATTTTGTTTTATGCCTTATTTTAATTCCCAGAAATTATTAGTGAATATAATATTGACTGCATTAAATAGTTTAGAATTATATTAAATCAATGATTGATAACAAAGCAACAGCAATGCGTAGCAGAAACATACTGATATATGTATATACTAGATATTTTTTTTCCAATTAAAATCTCATTAGTTGAAGAGTTAGTAGCAAACGAGTTTTATTTATTTAAACAGTAAAAAAAAGATATAAGCGGAAAATTAAACTAATAATCCCTTCCTACCCTAAGGGGGGAGAGATTATTTATACAAGGAAAAGTCTTGAACGAGAAAGGTAAAAAGAAAGAGAAAGAAATATTAAGGAAACGTAGAAAGAAAAAAACTTGAAAGAACTCGTCGACATATACACACACATATATATATGTAGTGTACCATAGTAGCAGAGCTTTTACAAAGCTCAACCTCGCTGTCTCTCTTTCTCTCTCTTTCTTTTTTCTCTTTTTTTTGAGAGAGAAACCGTTGGAAACTGACTATACTTTCCTTGGAGGTGACCGAGCTAACGATCGCTTTGATTTAACGGCTATTTTTCAGAGTACCACACGAGCACGGTTACAGCCGAGATAGTCTCTGGCAACGTGAACACTTTGGATTCGTCTACGAGTCCAACTACGACAACTACTACGACGACTACTACGACTACGGCAAGGGGAACGTCAACGGCAACGACAACTACGACGAATCCAACGAGAACGAGGAGTCCAACTACTACGACGACTACTACGACGATGCTTAGACCATTGGACGACGAGTTACATCCCACCCTACCAATGACCTTTGCTACCGAGAACTCAACGACGATCTCTGCGCAATCCGGTTCCACAGCTTTGCTACCCTGCGTTGTTCACAATCTTGGCGACGGAGTGGTAAGATTACGACAAATATAACGCACACTCACATACACAAACACAGACATATATATATGTATGTATACTTGACTACACTCCACAATTATCGACCAACGAGATCCTTCCAACCCCTTTATAACCCCTTTTTTCTTACTATCTTTCTGTCTCTCTCTCTTTTCTCTTCCCAACCTCCTCTTTTTCATTCCAACTTGTTCCCTTTTCTTTTTTTTTTCTTTCCTTTCTTTCTCCTTCTTTTATCCCTTTTATTCCCTATACCATCACGTAACACAGACCAAACGATTTACTGGAATTACCAAGCTTCTTGCCCCCCCCCTTTTTTCCTATCATATATCTATCAATTTCAAGGATAACGATGAAATATTTCGCTAAAGAAACATACATTTTAACATCGAACTTTTCTTCTTCCATAAAACCCACTCTTCTCTCTCTCTCTCTCTCTTTCTCGTCTATCCTGTGTACCGTTTCTAAATGGAAACGTTAGTAAATTCACGAGTACGTGTATTTCCCTTTATCCTTTCTCTCTTTTTATTTTTATTTCTTTTTTTTATTTTTTCGTTTTTGTTATTTATTGTTATAACAGTTCAAAGAGAACACACTCATATACACAAAGATACAGACAAGACAAACCAGACAGATGGAGATATTTGAAAAGTTCATTTTTCAAAATGCTATATTCGTAGCACAAAAAAAACCTTCTTTCTCTATCTCTTTCTCTTTCTTTATTTCTCTCACGTATTCGACGATATCTCTCCCCAATTTCTTCTTCTTCTTTATTTCTTTCTTTTTCTTTTTTTTTACTTTCTTTTTTATCTTCAATATGTCTTTTAAACTTTCTCTTCTACAGTCAGAATCACTTATATATATATATGTGTGCATTAGGTACACATTCGTTGTACATTTCGTACTCCATCTTTGTTCCTTTTCTATTTTCTCTTCCAAACGAACAACACCCAGATGCAAACCCCTCTTCTTACCATTTCATCCCCCAACTCCCTAATCCCTTCCCCACTACCACCACCACACCCTTCCTTATACCTCATATACTTATACTCGAACCCATATCCCCCAAACGTTAGAGGTATTTGTTCTTTGTATGCATATGTAAGTACTTACCTACATCCCTTATTCTCTTGAGATACGTTCTCACTCACTAAGATAAACAACTTCTCTCTCTCTCTTTATCTCTTTCTCTCTCATTCTATTTATTTCTCTATCTATATATCTATCTATCTGTCTATCCCGTGTACTTCCATCTTCGTTGCATTATTTTCTTCAAAGTCTTTGGCACCATCTCAAACTCTCGGGTAAGATGCGCAAACGAGGAGAGAAAAAAAGTAAGAAGGCACGGATCGAAGTACAAAGTTTAACAAGATTTTGAATCAGTTTTCCGTTTCTTTGATGGAACCTACCTTACCAACCACCTTACCCTACCCTACCCTACCCTACCCTACCCTACCCTACCCTACCCTACCCTACCCTACCTTACCTTACCTTACCTTACTTTACTTTACCTTACCTTACCTTACCTTACCTAACCTTACTTTACTTTGCCTTATCTTACCACCCATTCCTTTCTTTCTCTCTCTCTCTCTCTCTCTCTCATCATCTACTTTGACAATCCCTTTTACTGTCCTCATCGTCCTATTCGAAGCTTTGAGTTAGAGAACATTTTCTTTTTCTTCTTCTTCTTTCTTTCTTTCTTCTTTTTTCTTTCGAACCTTCTTTTTTTTCTTTTTTTAGTAAAATGAACATTATCCTTGATCAAGTTGAATATCTTTCATTACTCTTTTACCTTTTCATTTGTTTTTCTTAATTATTTTTGTTTTTCTTGCTTTTCTTCCTTACTTTCATTCATTTATAATATATTTCTTTTTTCCTTTTCCTTCTCTCCCCTGACCACCTCACCCCACCCCACTCTTTTTTTCGCGACTCCGTGGTTGGTAACGCTTTTCATCTTTTACTCGGCTATATTGGGCAAGGATCGAGGAAAGTAAGAGAATCTTCCTCTTTTCAGTTCTTCGTTTGGTTGAAAATGACGAGGTCTTCTTCTAGAGTTAACGTTCACCTATATCTTCTACCTTCAAACTCTGCTCAAAGTCTGGACGTTTCAAACGGAACATCTCGAAAGCTTACCTTCAGAGAAAATAACAAAAGGGATAGAAAGAAAAAGGGAAAGGGAATGGGTGGATGGATGGATGGAAGGATAGGAGAAAGATGGGCAGTGGTTTCGTTTCTTCCATCCTTTCTGAGTACCTACAAGCAAAACAGCATTTCTACTAACTTTACTACCACTACCACCACCACCACCCACTAACCCCCTCCCATCTCCTTTTCTTTGATGCCCTATTTCTTCCTACTTGGGTAAAACTTTTTGCAAGACTTTTGAAATACTGTAGAATTTTGTATACTTTCGTTTATTACTTGCGTATTACATTGTAATAACTTTTTAATTAGTTTAAAATAAAATATTTGTGTATTCATTCATTTTGTGGTACAGGGTAATAGGATAATTAACTCGTACAAATTATTGATAGGAATAATAATACGTATATCGTGGTTTTTTTTATTTTATAAATAGGATTAGTTTTCTTTTTTTTTTTATTTAATTCGATGAAAAGGTAGGGATGATAAATCATCAATTTTAAGAATTAACCCTTATCGGCTGTATATCATGTGGGAAGTGACTTACAAATAAAATTATTTTATTAATGTAATTAAATAATTAATAATTTCATATATTTGTAGTAAGGTGAAGGCACCAGTCGTCGACCATGTGCCAGAAATTGACCATTTTTCACTAAAACGTGAAAAATAAGCTTTCTTTAAGTATTGGCCTTTCCAAACAAATGCGGTAGATGGGTTACGTCATTTACCAATGCGATGCTATTATACGTTTGCTTGGATACGATTGTTTATTGTAACTACGAACGATTAATATCAGTAACGACAGTCGTATTCCTTCATACTGTAACTTCCTTAACGCTCTTGTTAAAAGATATGCGTAGTTAAAGATAAGTAATTTCTTAGCTTTTGACTCTTAACACTTTAATGGCCGCTCACACAACATGTGTGTTATAGTCGGAACAACAATTATTGGCCGTTATTAATTTATAACTTTTTATATATTTAAAATTAAATAAAATTAAATTTGTTGTTAACTTGTTGTTGTTTTTTTTATGTTAATTTTTTCGTGAATTTAATAAAGTTTTTAAATTAATTTTTCAAAAATATTACCGATCCCTGGAGACGTTATGCGTAGACGTGCGGCCATTAAAGTGTTATTAATGCCAAAAATTTTCACTATTTTAATTGCCATTAAATTTCTTATTCATTAAACACATTGTTTTTCGCATTCCCATATCAAAAACTTAATTAATCGAGGGTTCAACTACCGAGTCGTATTATTTGATGTTTTCTAGAAGTTAACATACATTGGGAAGAAGAGAAGTAATGGATAAAAATAAATGGCTTAGTGTTCAAAAAGATGTTAATGAACATGTAATATTTTTATATGAAAGTGAATATTTTCCTGGAAAAATCCTTTCTATTATTGACACTAAAGTGATGGCATCTTCTGTGAAATATACTTCAGCACATTTGCTTGTTGACCTAATATACAGTCAGATGTAAATGTATGTACTTTCAAAAAAATAAAAAAAAATAAAAAAAAAATTAAAAAAAAAATCTTCTGTGAAAAAACATGGGCGATTGTGGAAATGGTCAGAAACTCCTGACGTATTACATTACAAATAGGAAAATATACTTTTTCATATTAATGAGCCTATCAAAACGAGCAAAACGCGAAATATTTTTTTTATACTTGAATTAGATTCGATATGGAATTATAGTTAACTTTATTTTTCATTAACACGTTCCGTGCCAAGCCCTTTTTACGTAACTTGTCATTCAGTCCACTTAATTTTGCTTTAACAAAATCAACTATTACATGTAATTATTAATTATTATAAATAATAACAATTAAACAAACTTGTGTGCTTTGTTCTATACTGCATTTTGTATAATGCATCAATATTTTAATAGAAATATTTTTTAACCGAATTAAATTTGTTATAAACATATATTTTCAGCGCATTAAAAAAATTTGACTAATGGTAAGTGTACCACCGGTGGTACACATGGCCTAAAGAACAAGTTTAACGTTACCACCGGTGGTACATGTACGTGGCACTGAACGTGTTAACTTTCAGAAATTAACTTCTATTCATTTGTATTTGACCTTTTAGTTGTTATTTCTTCTAATTGATGTAAATAAACGATATTGAAATGATTACTTTTATTGTTTTTGGTTCTAGTATATATGGTCAACTATTAACGAAAAAATTGTCAATTACTGGTTTCTCCAGTCTCAAAAATAGTCAACTACAGGTACAGTGATTGACTTTCCATTAAAGTTTATTATTTTCGTGTACCATAACTTTTTTCGAAAAATATCCTTTGCTATATGACATTCGAAGTACAAAGTATATCTTCACGCATCAAGATCTACTATTTAATAAAAATGCAAGAAGTTACCACTATTTAAGATAAAAATTTCTTTTAACCGGTCGACCACTGGTGTCTTTACCTTAATCATTCAAAAAAAAGAAAAATAAATCATTTCTTATAAATAATAAATTATTCTATAATATTAATCCCTTGAGTACTGAATTTTATCTGAAAATTTTTATATCAATTTCTTACTATATAGATTAATATAGGTAAAATTAATACATTTTATTTGGAATATATTTATATTGGTGACATATAAATATATATTTTTTGCAACAACATTTCAATTAAAAGATATAAATTAAATATATAAATAAAAACGAAATAGAAATATTTATATAGATGACGAGTCTCGCTCGTCAAATGTACCCAAAGGGTTAAACAATTTTGTTGCATATTTACCGAAATAACTTAAAACTTACAATTTGTGAGAATCATCAATAAAAAAAGCCTGACGATCGATAATCGATTGGAATAATTTGCAGATA